TAGCGCAGCAATGTCTAGGGTTCCCAGCATGCAAGAGCGTTTCCTGCAAGTCCCCATAATTCGTTCCAAGAAGTCTTGGAGAGTGGGAAGAAGGTGGATAGAGGTTGGAGAAGGAGAGGTTGGCCAAAGGTGGGCGCGCGGGTGCAAAAGTGGGCGGGGTTTGCTAATAAATTTATAACTCGGTTCCAAAAAGCCATGAGACGGGGAAAAAAGTAAATAGAGGTCAGCGAAGGAAATGAAGCTAACTGCTATGGTGGGCGGGGAATGCAACAAAAAAGGCGGGGTTATCCACAAAACATAACTCGGTCCCAACAGGTCCTGGAGATCGGGAAAAAATGGGGGAGGAGTTTGCGTTAAAGTTATAATTTTTTCCCAAGAATTCCTGAAGATCGAGAAAACAGTGGTTGGTTAGAGGTCAATGACAATGGTGGACGAAAAAGAAGAGGTCAGAAGCCGTCGGTGGATGGAGCGGATAGAATCCAGCTTAGAGGTCAAATATTCGTAGTGTAACGGGACAAATTTGAGAGTTCACGCCGCACCAACCCACATCGCCTCAGAGCTGTGTCGTGCGCGCGTGCGCAAACTGGTAGCTCATAGAAGAGGAAAGAGTGATCATTTGAAAATGCATTGTTTGTGCTGTGAAAGCGTAGTTGAACACCACTCTAATGATTGAAATGTGGGAGTTTAGACTACTTAAAGAAAAAAATTTGTAGTCTCTCATTTGAAGAGAGACTTTTTAATGGGAAGTGTTCATCCTAACAAACTCTTAACCTCAACTTCATAACAAGAAGAGTTCCAGATGCTGGACAATCACTTACTGGAAGCAAACTCCAACCTCTCGTAGATTTTTGTAATTATAATGTTCTTCTTCTAGCAACAAGGGTTTTAGGTGGAGACTTTATTAGTAGCCTGGCATCTCCGCGATCGTCTTCCTCAAAGGTATAAACGTGGCTCAAGGGCTGAGAGACGTCCTTCAAACCGCCACTGGCCTCCTCTCCCCAATGTTTCTGTTCTGACGGAACATTAGGGGAAGAACCGAAAACCCAAACGAGAGAAACGAAACGTCAGGCCAGTAATAAGGACCCATCTGAAACCTCGTTGGCAGAAGAACATTATAATTACTGATGGATGGTTAAATCAGTCGCTTTCCAGCGCAACGGTGAAGAACTGTGCGCGCCAATGGAAAGCACGCGACGGAGCCGCACGTTGCCGCATCTCTACTCAAAGTAACTGTTACGGAGAGCGGAGGGGAGGGGAGGCGGGTATGGTATCGAGACTCTTCAAGGGGAAGGGGGTCGTAAGACTTTCGAAATCGGTTCAAGGCGACGGTTGACCGTGGCTCGGGGAGGCGTTATGAAATCATCAAGGCGGGGGAGCTGAAAGCGGGTGTATGTCAACAGAGCCGTTTGGATCCCGCGCTGCTGGTCTCCTCCTCTGGCCGCGACGTTGCAACTGCAGTGGACGAGTTTCTGTGTGCGTCATTCTGACTGAACGTTAGTGGAACGCTCTTGAACCCGTCTCTTCAAGATTCAACTTCAGTCAATGCGCGCATAGTTTCAATTCCTTCAAACTTTTTTCTTTTATGTTTTTCAATATTACTATTATGAAATCGAAAACAATTTTGTTCACGCCACTTTCTAAGAAGCCAGAGCATGGGAGTTGGAATTTGGTATCCGCGCCACAGAGATTATTGTGGACTGCAGGAAATTCGCTGCTCCTACCGTCAAATCCAAAAAATCCCGCGCCCTCGGAAAAATGTCGCGTCGCGACGCCGCCCAAGTGGCCGCGCGCGGCGGCGCGACGACTGGTCAATTCCTTGACCGTTCCCTACTGAGAGCTGGTCCTCGATTGGAGAGATAGTGGAAATCAGGAGACAAACGAGGGATCGACAATAGTTTTCATGGAATAACTTATTACAACTCAACCAAATCAGTAGTTTTGCACATGGTTAGACTCGCCACAGAGAGACGAGTCCATCGCTGTAAAGATCCTTTCATTTACCCTGCTTCCGAGGGAGTTATGACGGTGCGACGGTTTGCGACGGTTCTGTAGCGTCGCGACGCTACAAAACCGTCGCGACGCGTAGATGTTTCAAAAATTAGGAGCAGTATTGTATAAAGGATAAAGGATAAAGCATTTGCCGTTGATCAATCCCTTTTTGGGATGCGGCACGCATTCTACTTCCATTTGTACATTCGTAGTGGCGTTTGAATGCGATGTGGCCTATACAATGACTTGCGGGGCCACCGACCCCGGAGGGATGGAAGGCTTGGTTGGCCCGGGCGACTCACGACCCAGGATTTGATCCCCGGACCGCTCGCGTGGTAAGCGTGCCACTTGCCACTACACCACTTCCGCCCTACAGCAGTATTGTATAACACATTTAATAGTGAGGTAGTTGATGGAGTACATCATGCTGCTATGCCGTGTTTCCTCCCTACCCTGTGATGCGCGCGATCGGCAAAGCAGATTGATGAAATCTATAAATCACTAATATAAAGGTTAACAGTGATTTTTCTAGCTTCTGCCTCGGGCTGACTAGAATGTCTATTACCTCAAGAGCCTGGGACCGTAAGGATAATAATGCAAAAGGTTAGTCAGTGAAAGAATAGTAACAGTAGTAGTGGAACGTTTGTATGTGATCGGCGACGTTTTTTCTACTAGCATGGGAGGGACGATTGTTGTAGAGAATAAACGGCTCGCCTTCCAGTGAACAGGTCTCCACTGGCCACACGTTTTCTGGTATTGCTGGGGATGGGTTATTGATTATATCGATAATGTAGATGATACTGCCAAGATTAGTGATCGGTTACGGAACTCCTCCAGAGATATTGATTGACCGTATTGATATTATGATTAAATTCAGAAGCTTCAAACACTGTTGTACATGGATATCGATCCTTATTGAGCATGACATTGTAAACTGAGGCGGCAATTCTATTCACACGGGTCTATACAACTCTTATCTATTTCCCCCAACTATTGGCAATGTCTACATAGGCTCGTGCCTCTTACGAATCTTTAGTTTATGGACACTTCGTTTAGGAGCATGAGAAGCACGTCCACATTTGCACCTATCGCATTGCTTCGTAGAGAAGTACAAGTCGGTTGATGTTCGTGCAGCGATTTATAAGCTCCAAATCTATTTTCTATTTGTTATAATCTGATACTCTATTCACCGTCTACTGTGAAAATGCTTTCTGTTCTTCTTCGTCTTCGCTGAATGTTGTGTTGAACCACATCTTCTCAATCTCAAACGTCCGATTCGGGTCGTTAGGCTTTCGTACGAATCGATGTTTATGGCCAAGTGCGTGTTGACGAGGACACCCACACCGCCAACGCCTCTGCTGTCGCATGTTCCAAGGAACAGTTCTTCTCCAGTATCGAAAACGGCGTGTAGCGGGCGGTGCCTTCTCGTCTCGGTCAGTCCGATGACCTCGTATTCGATCGAAGACTTGATTGAATTATGCAATCGACTGCTATTAAGTAAGCTGGTCATACAATGATACAATGTGCACGTACCACTACAAATAGAATTTGTAAGTAGGGACGCTCTAGTGTCAGCGCAAGCTACGTAACGGAATCGACGACTTTTGCGTTCTGACGCGCCTTATCAGCCTTTATCAGTTGTTATCACTTTCAATCACCCACCAACAATGTCCCCGTCCCACCCCACATAACACTTGTAAGTATGGTTGCTCTGGTGTCAACGCGAGCCAGGTAACGGAATCGACGACTTTTGCGTTCTAGCGCATCTTATCAGCCCTTATCAGTTGCTATCGCTTCCATCATGTACCACCAATGTCCCGGGACCACCCCACATAACACTTGTAAGTATAGACGCTCTAACCAATATGAACGACAAAACGAAATTGGCGATGCTCGCTTTCTAGCCCCTCTTATCAGCTATTATCAGTCGTTATCAGTTCCTATCACGTACCACTTGTGTCCCCATCCCACCCCCTATAACATATGTAAGAACCATGGCGCTATCATTGCTGTGACCCGAGCTATGAATTTCCGGTCAAACAAACACACACACACACACACAGACCACACACGCACAACCGCTACGCGGATTATATATAGTAGGATAGCACAGCACGCTAGTGGGCCCTATCTAGGAAATAAAATTTCATAAATGAAAAATCCTTACCATATATAAGGCGCTATGTCTGTCTGTTTGTGTGTGTGTGTGTGTATGTGTGTGTGTGTGTGTGTGTGTGCGTGTGTCACGAAATTCATAGCACGCGTCGCAGCAGTCGTTAGGAGCTGATTTTTTGATATGATATAGGGGGTGGGCGGGAACATATTTGGTGGGGGTCACAAAGTGATAACGACTGATAAGAGCAGATAAGAGGCGCTGAAACACAAATTTCACGAAATTCATAGTGCGCTTCGCAGCAGTCGTCAGGAGCTGATTTTGGGGCATGATATAGGGGGTGGGACGGAACATATTTGGTGGGGGTCAAAAAGTGATAACGACTGATGAGGACTGATAGTAACGATATGCGTACGAACGTAGAGAGCACTTGAAATAGAAAATAGAGAGCAGATTGTAGATAATGCCTTTCATTTCAGTGTCATTTCATCAGCGTTGTAATTGTAAACTCAAACACCTTTCGACCGCTACACCTTCTGAGTTCTTGAGGATGAATGGGATGCTCGAATAAATATGATAATGAATACTGGGCATTCCGTTTTGAGATATTCGACCGCTAAATTACCTCGATACTCGACGCATAGTGGTTGTTTACATCATCACTTTAGCTGTGCACTTCACTGCGCTTATCAATACAGTGAGATACAGCCAGCCTATGCAACGAACAGTAGTACATTTAACGAAGCAGCTATTATTTAGCGATGAAACCTAAAGCTTCATCGATGTCAGTTCTATCAATGCGAGCGGTAGCGGGAGGAGCTAATGAGCATATAAATTGCACAAGGATCATCACAGATCATTTGAAGATTTATCTAAAAGTTCTGTTACAAATGTATAACTATAGAACTGTTGATTTGGCACCGCAGTTGACTATAGCATGCTCAATGAGAGTTGACATCTCTTTAGCTGTTGAAGCGAATTCCTTCAACTGAAAATAATGATGTCCATACACACAAATATGAACGGTTAGCCCAGCAATTTTTCATGGTGAAAAACTGAAGTATGCTTTAGTGTTTTGAATTTTTGATTTCAAATTTTCAACTGCCATTACATCTGCACGCATTCTTCCACTGGCTTCTAATGAGTAATTTTCAGAAAATTCTAAAGATATCTCCAGTCGGGGCCATCTAATGACGTGTTATTATACAGTACAATGACCAATGGGTCTGCGAATGCTATGGTGTATACCTGGTCACAGTCCACATCAAGAATGGTGAAGACCACGGCGAATTTGCCGCCTATGTTCATTACTTCCTCGTGAATCATGTCGTGGTTGTGGATGAGACCGCGTTCGTACGCATGCTGCTCAATCTGAATTATTTTGATCGCATGCAATAATAGTCAATTAGTGTCAAGGGTTGAGAAGAAGGGAAGGGGCAGGAGCAAAAATGGTCTTAGCTCTGCTTCGATGGTACTGTGTTGCTAACCGTGTATCCGACGGCACTCATGTAGATTGGATTCATTTTCGGATTGAAGTTGGCTTTAGTAACGACAATAGCCTGTGCATGCTCGACTTCACGTTTCGCCCAGTGGCAGTACCAGTGGTACCGGTTGCTCCACCAGTACCAGTTGCCCCTCCAGTTGCAGTGGGTAACCGCGTCCAGACGTTACCGCAGTCCATGGTAGTGTCACAGTACTTGCCCCTCCAGTTCCAGTGGTACGGTTGCTCACCAGCTGACGGTGCCCCCGTTCAGTGACGTTGTCACCAGTGTGGCTCATCCAGTGTAGAATTCGGAGCGCAGGCCTGTAACAGAGTACAATGTTACGTTATCATGCCGATATCATTTTTTTTCTAACAAATATTTTCAAGGTGTCATAGTTTGTTCCAAGTGTTCATGAATTTTATATCCTCATATGTTCACAATCTGTGGCCCTAAATTATCATTAGCACACTTACCAGCGAGGTCGCGCGCCCGCCCGGCCGGCCGCCGCGGCGCGCCGGCGCCCGGCGGCGGGCGGGGGGCCGGCGGCGGGTGCGCGCCGCCGGGGCGCCGCGCGCGCCCGCGCGCCGGCGGGCCGAGGTCGCGATGACACTGAGAATAATTAGCAAATGAACCATGGCGATTTGTTACGCAGCGACACGGTCAATAATTCGTTGCCTAGGTAGATAAATGTTAGTCAAACCCGATGATCAGATTATGATTTCAAACAACAACGAGTATCCTGATCCGAAATCCTGACAACTTCCGTCTTAGTTTTGCCTCACCAATATCGCTGGAGTCGCAACTTCAAACGTTAGGTTTTAAAACCAGGGGAGTTTCTGAGTCCAAGAAACATTGTGCGAAAAGAAGATCATTCCGTTTCACTCCACATCTTCAAAAGAATCTACTAACAAACACGTCTTCATGATTACGGCCCCTCTAATTTTTCACTATATTGCTTTAGAAATAATGAAGCATAAGAGATATTATCAAACTTCTCTGTAGGTAATTTTGCCATTGATTCGTATAGGAACGAATTTACATGGGCCGCAGTGATTACAGGTGTGAATGAACCTCTGTGAGAGCAAACAAGTAGTACTGTTGGAGATCGGCTGGTCGGCCGTTATTTATGCTCACCATTGCGGTTCCAGAGTGTTTAGGAACCATGCCTTTGTGACGCTCAACTAACTACCGCAGAGTTGTTTTCGATGAATCAAAGTATATTTAGCGAAGCAATATAATTAAAACGTGTACACAAAATGATTTTGTTTACCAACGATTCAGAGAAAAAAATTTGGAATAAAGTTTTTCACGGAATACCATGAAATATTTTCCGGAATGGTGGTTGCGGAATTTCATTATCCATGATGGCTTTCTTGGTATGTCCACACATTGTTGCGACACTGTTGCGAAGATGACTTTGGATTTGATTTGCAGCAATGAAGGGATTCAATCGACCTCTCACATGTTGGTTAGAGGCGGTTAGAAAATTTCAGTGCATACCAAAAGCTTCGCACTCCAAGATGCTGCATTCGCCGTGTAGCATTAGCATTGCTCCATCGTATTATTGCC